TAATTCAATTTCTAATCGTGGTGTGATTTTTCGTCGAGCACCTGACCTAGTGGAAGGTCCTAGAGGAGGTGGACATTGGTTTTGACTATCATCCTCCGTGTCGGTAATAGCAATATCAGGATTATCGAATTTGGGACTAGGAGTCCCAAATTCGATAATCCTGATATTGCCATTGTATTGTAATTATAATACTACAAAACTATAAATTGTAACCTATATAAAATATTGGAGTAAAACCCGTGAGAAACGCTAGTATGATTAATTAATCAGAACACTTATTTAATATGTGATAATAGCAATGACCAAACTTACAAAGTCACTTACTAGAATGCAGATATCACGATAAAGGTATTAATCATTTCTTGGAACTTAAACTCGACGTACGAGGGAAGTTTGCGTAATGATAAGCGTCGGGTCGTTGCGTCGTAGGAATATACCGGTCACAGCACTGAATTGTGCGCAACAGCGGGTATAGTCTCGCTGGTTCTGGGCAAAGACCGGCTGCAGTACAAACAGCACGCAGCAATGGGCCTTTCACGAACTTTTCACGAACAAGCGACCAAGAGGGCCGGGCCGGAACTCGGATTAACGAAATAAAGTAACTGTTACACACAATGGAGCTGGCGCTTACACTCACACGCACAAACACACGCGTCGATATTGGGTTTCGAAGACGTACCGGGGACACTTTTTGAATCCCTTTACGCTGCCAGTATTTAATGTTATGAGCCTCGGGAAGAATGGCTTTTTAAAAAAAACATATTAATTTATTTAGTAGGAAAGCCGTCTGGTTAGGATGTTGGATCGAGACTGCGGATCTTATGGATGGGACTGGCGGCTATGAGTATATAATGACGAGCTTGCAGTCTGTGCAAATCAAGGGTGCATGGTGTGGTAAAGGGGATACATATACACATACTATCTATAACAGTACCTTTATAGCCATAGAAGTGGTATCGCCAGCCGAATAACTAATTAAACAATTTCCAGCAAATCCTCATGTAAAAGATAATTTCTCATTTTGAATTTCCAAATTCCATACCCATCTCGTCCACACAGACGAATTGAAGGCGGCAAACTAGTACTAGAACCAGATAACATAGATCTGCTCCTATACCGGGATTTACCGAGGCAGTATCACCTGAGTAGGCCATTTTTACACCACGTATTTTACATCAAAGTATTAATAACAAATAAAATATAATATAACTGTCACTATTGCCACTCCGATATTCATGTCAGAAAAATAATAGAAATAATTCTTTTAAATAAATTCGTGCTGATAACAAATTTTGTGTTATTGTTTTTTAGAGATATATACAAAAGTGACAAGAAACACTCATACAGAGTGTTCAGTCAATTTTGAAATCTAATTCATATTTACAAACTTATAACAGATAGCCAAGTTAACTACAAAAGGCTTAAGTATAAACAATACTCTAACACAAATAAACGATCAAAATTTTCCTCTTTATAATATTAACTAGTGGCCCGCCCTCGCTTCGCTTCGGAGTAGAGCTGAAGTGTAGACTACAGTTTCTGTTCTCAGGCCTGTATTATACACAATGACATTCATCTATGATTCTTCTTATACCTGCATGCAAAGTCTCAGCCCGATCGGTTTAAAATTAAAATTGACAAAGCTTCATACAAACTTTCATTCCCCATTTTATCCCCTTGGGGGTAGAATTGATCAAAATCCTTTCTTAGCGGATGCCTACGTCATAACATATACCTGCATATTTGTTTCTTAGGTTTTCACGCACATCACTCATTAAATAAAACTAGTTTTTACGGGTTAATGCACGAAACTTTATTTATTTATTGACGTTTCGCAGCCTTTTCAGGTCTGCATCGTCAGAATAATGATTTTTTATTTAAAATTGTCGAGCTACCTTCGAAAGACTTATATTGAGCGTTCGGTTATTTCATTGGAAGATTTTTAAAATTTTATTGTCTAAGTATGAATTTATTATTTAATTTACTTAATAAAGTAATTTTATTTAAAATTCTTGTTTGTAATTTTGAGTTTATTTATTTGACCCTAACTACCGTAAACTACCACCGGTTCCAAAATTGGGAGACCTTCCTGAGAAGAACCGGCGAAACAAACTCAAGAGAGGCTTTCTATCTCCTTCTTATTTTAAATTATGCAAACAAAAAGAACTAATAGTATCTGATGGTCTTGCAGTGTGTGCTCGGGGTTGGGATTTTATCTCCTGTATAATAGGTTCCCAAGCTGGTGGTATATACCAACCATCTTCCTATGGTCACGTCAATAAATAAATAAAGTTTCGTGCATTAACCCGTAAAAACTAGTTTTATATACCTGCATGTCAAATTTCAGCCCGATCCGTCCAGTGGTTTGGGCTGTGCGTTGATAGATCACTATGTCAGTCACCTTTGAGTTTCATATATATATAGAAAATGTACTGAGCGAAATGCGCATTTAAAATGAGTTTGGCTGAACTCATTAAATATGACGTAAAAAATGTACGTAATTATTTCTTATCACTATTGAGCATTGCTTACCGATTACGCCCGGCCAAGTGCGTATCGTGCCAAGAGTAGTGTAGGGTTCCGTAGTTACCTGTAGTTACCGCAATTTATTTAAGCTTGAGTCCTTATTTTGTTTATTGGAAATTAGTAAAAACAATGAATATCAATCTATGTAACTCAACTAAAGTACCTAAATCAAACTCAAAATCAATTCGATATTAATATTATTTTAAATACGAATGATAACCGCTGATTTTTTCATCCCAGGCAGGGAAGCGGTAGTGAAATCATCGTGGACACTCTATAGGCGGCTGCAAAGTTATGTCAGACTTGTTTTACTTGAAAAAAATCCACGCTTTCCGGGCAGCAGATGGACGGAAGATTCGGATTCGAATCCCGTCTACTGCCTTGACCACGTGGATTTTTTCTAGTAAAATTTTCTTTAGATTTATAATTCTAGCAGTTAAATGCTTAAAAGTAAATATAAATATAATAAACCTTAATCAATTAATGTAACGCCTACTTTATAAATTAATTAACTTAATTTAAAGGAACGCCAAAAATTTAAGCTGTGCATTATAGGTATATTTATTAATTAGTAAGATACTGTGTCAAGGTTGCAGATATCCAATCAATGATCTATGGTTTTCCCGGTTCATCGCATACGCCAAAAAATCTTTACATTATTGCCTTATTTTAATAAAATGCTCAATAATGAGCATTCTCATCAACTATCTGGGCTTGCGGGCATTAAGTATTTAGTAAACTTGGTTTATTACTGCAAAATCACTTCATCATCATCGACCCATGCTCGTCCACTACTGGACATAGGTCTCCCCTAATGCACGCCACTGCTCCTGATTTTCTGCTACTCTCATCCAGCCCACTCCAGCCAGCCTACGAATGTCATCATCCCATCTTGTCTCAGGGCGTCACTCTACGTTTACCCAGTAGCGGTCTCCAATCAAGAACTTTACGGCTCCATCGGCGGTCAGTTCTGCGGCTAATGTGACGAGCCCACTGCCACTTCAGTTTGCTAATTCGAGGGGCTATGACTCTGGTTCTCTGTCGGATTACATCATTTCTGATGCGGTCCTTCAGGGATACTCCGAGCATAGCCCTTTCCATAGCTCTCTGAGCAACTTTAAACTGGTGGACCAGTCCAGCCGTGAGTGTCCACGTCTCGGCGCCGTATGTCATAACTGGATCTGTATCCAATTGCAGAATCAAAACTGACCATGATCACAATTTAAACGTTAACTTCAATATATAAATATATATATTTGTTCCCTTATAAATATACAGAGAACCATATATTTAACATTACACATGAAAAAAAAAAAAAAAAACTGGGAGTACGTTCAAAATCACTTAGTACGTGTTTAATACTGCGTTTGTAGTTAGCAATGATTATTTTCGCTTCATTCAAATGCAGTAATGGTGAATACCGCGTTTAGTTTTAACGCCGCAAAAGTATATCTTTATAATTCTCGCTATATTGCAAAACAGTAATGGTGAGCACTGCGTTTGGGTTTAGTTGGTATTCCATGCAAATACTGTATAATCTTCTAGCACATGCTTAATACTGCAGTTCTTTTTAGCACAAGTGCCATTTAGCAGCAAGTACCACGTTTGATTTTAAATAAAAAACATGTTTTTAATAAGAAAAAAACTTGTAAATATATTTTTTACGTATAGATTATGTCATTGGGATGTAATTTTTGTAAAAAAAATTAAATCACAAAAGTGATGATTACTGCAAGAACAATTAGCAGGGCAGAGTTGCCACAGCGTCCCCCCCACTCGTAGTTCTGTCCTACAAAGGGGAGGTGGCGGAGTGTTCTTTGATGGGTACGCCCAGGAGTCCCCTCCGCAGCGGATGGGGGGCGGTACGGTGGGCATTAGGCCGCGTACCCAGCCCCCACGTGCGGGCCTACCTGCGCACGTCTGCGGGGTCCCCGTAAAACCGCGGGAGACCCCTGCCGTGGAGCCCCGGCGAGGCCGGGAAGCTGCTGGGTGCGGAGCCGTGGTAGAATCCCTAACGGGGACCCTGCGGCTTCGCACTAAGCAGTGTAGAAAGTATTCGCAGGACTTTTTTAGCGGATATTAAGCTGAAAAGCGCCCGTAAGAGTTGCGGGGTCCTCAGTGGGTAGCCACTGGGGGGTCCGTAAGACTTGCGGGAGACAGGTGTGAGGTCCGTTCGGCGGTGTGCCTCTTAAAGGCGCCGTCTTCTGTAAAAAGATTTTTTACCTGCGTTATAAAAAAAGGCCAGATTATTATAACATTCACAAGAAATCCATAATAGAAATTAAGATAACGATCACAGCAACTCAATCATTATAATCAAATTTGGCTAATTAATTAAAGTCACTATCACTTTTTACTTATCTATCATTATCTCTGACGAGGCATAAAATGCATTGGTTTTATTCACTATCTTAGAACTAGTCTGATCTATGATAAAAATTAAGTATATAAATAATTTTCTTTGGATTCAACATTAAAGTGGTGGTCATCCGTCGGTTAGCTTAAAGTACAAAATTTCACTTTCAAAATGAAAGGACTTATTTGGGCGGCGTTGTTATTCTTCACCTTGAGCATAGCTCACACAAAACGTAAGAAGTTTTTTAAACCTATTCTTAAACATTTTTGACGTGACTTATAAATCAATGCACACCGGTTGCACGCACGCTAAAGTGTGACGCCGGTCACGTTATGCGACGTCATGTCATGTTTAATAACGTTCTGCGGTGTGTGTGAGGTGAGGTCGAGGGGTTCCTTCGACTCCCCGTCCCCCCTGACTGATTTGATTTTAAACAAATATAATTATACCAGATCTTTTTGAAGTAATTTTTTAATTCTTTGAATTGTCTCTCTCAATGAACTTGATAGCGCAGCAGTTTGCGCATTCAGTTTGCGATTATGAAACAAATGCAAGATAAATATCATCGGATGGGTGACCAAAAAAATTTGGTATGGGTATTTTATGAATTTATAATTAACCATGTCTTTGCCCACTAACTAAATTCGATGTATAACAACTATATTTTTCGCAGAGGTCGTTGTTTGCTACTACGGAACCTGGGCGACACACAGAGCAGGTCAGGGCAGGTTCACCGTAGACCACTTAGACCCACACCTCTGCACACACCTCGTATACGCGTTTGCTGGCATTAATACGCAGGGGCAGGTCGTATCAATGGATCCGAAACTAGACTTAGCCGAAAACGGTGGTGCAGGTGAGTTCCCTAATATCAAACAATATATTGCACGATTATACGATTCATATATTAAACTCTTAATAAACTTCCCGAAGGACAGGTCCTACACATTGTGAAATATTCATTGTAGTTTTAAGTGTAACTCGTCGGTCCACAATCCGTCGTAGTCGTTTCGCTACGTCTTCAAAACTACTTACAACATCATCAAAATGGGCATTTTGAATGCTTTATAAATGGAAATTTACTGCTTTTAAACATTATAATGCTACATACTTCTTCATAAAAATCCAAACAAAATCCGAAATCCGGCTACCTGATGTCAATTGTAAAATAAGTCCAACATATCAGACTTTCTGTGCCCCACGCCCCGACCATAATCATTTTCCCAAAAGAGATCTGAAAATTGCTTCAGATAAACAAAAAAACAAAAATTTACTTGACTCATATTTTATATCCACCTAAGTTTATAAATATTGCCAATTTGAGTGAGACCAAACAATTTCTTAACCTATTATCGTTCATCATATTTCAGACAACTATGGACTTTTTAATGAATTGAAACGAAAGAACCCAGCACTGAAAACCCTTTTGGCTGTTGGAGGTTGGAATGAAGGATCAGCTAAATTCTCTAGGGTGAGATTATATTTGTAATCTAATTATCCACATTATTAACATCATTTTATATTTAACAGAAATTTCCACTTAGCAAGAGTCGTGTACATCACACTGCGTGTCACTTGAGTATCTTTTAGTATTCGCTGAGTTACAGCCGGGACCAATAGTATCCAGTCTTTGTAAATTGTGTAATCACTATAAACCTCGGAGGATTTTTTTACTTCTAGAACACACACGTAACATAATATTCAGCTGAGTTCGTACGTAGCTTGATGAGAAAATTAATTGAAGTAAATATTACATTTTTAGATGGCAGCTAGTCCGACTCTACGAAGGAACTTCATCAACAGTGCTATCTTAATGATGAATAAGCATGGCTTTAACGGTCTTGATATTAGTTGGCTGTATCCCAATCAACGAGAATCGCCCAACAATCAAGCTGACGTAAACAACTTCTCTGTACTCCTTAAGGAACTGAGAGTATATTTTGATGAACGTGGTCTGTTACTAACTGTTGCTGTATCTGGAGCTCAAGAAGCGGCATCAAAATCGTATGATGTGGCATCATTGGTGCAGTAAGTTAAAAAAAATATTTGTTTATGTCAAACGGCAATAAAAGTTATCTGTATAACAATAAAACTAGATCTAACAAATACGTAAATTAAAAAAAATAACAGTACAAAAACACATAAACAAAAATTTCGGGGGACGAAATCAGGTCACATTAACAATTATTCAATACACCGTGAATTTTGAGTTACCTGTGAAACTTAAAAATTGTGTAAATAATAATTGTGAGTACGGATTTGAATAGTAAGAAATATATTGATTTATATTGTTTACAAAAAAACCTAAAATGGCACAAATTTGTAATTAACATACCTACTATGGAATTCTTATTCGTTTACAGTACGAAGATCCTAAAAGTAGGTAATTTTTTTGCGGAAAAAACCTAAATACTTCTTCGAATTAGCCAGTAAAGTTTCTCAGGAAACCAAATCCACGGTGGAGTGTGGGCGACTAGGACAATAAAATTTATTGTTAGGATTAGGTTGGGTTCTACTTAAATTACAAATTTAATTATTCTCAGATACGTACACTTAGTAAATTTGATGGCACATGACTTGCACGGTCCTTGGGATCCGTTCACTGGTCACAATGCCGCTCTTCGTAAAGGAGACGACGTAGCAGAAAGTGTTCCAAGAGAAATTTTGCTCACTGTTGACGTGGCTGTGGAGTACTGGTTAAGTAAAGGTGATAATATTTACATTTTTAATATATTCGCATACATCTGCAAATGTTTTCAAATTACTGTAATATATCTCATGCTGCGTTTTCACTTATGATCAAAACCTCTGAACGAGCAAATATTTGCTCGGTTTATCGCTAGCATATATCAAAGCGACTGAACGAATTCGTACAATGATGTTTGACTGGACTCAGAAAAGTAATGCTCTTTTGGTCAGTCATCAAAGGAAACAACATTTTGAGCATTACATTTTCTTAGCGAACAAATGTTTGAACTTTCTGAGAACTGCTCTGAGCATTAGGTGGAAACGCAGCATTATAAATTTTAGTAAGGTAAATATGAAAAAAATTAGTCTATGAGTTACCGATAAAATACTTAATGATAAATAATGTTTATAGGCTGTCCTCCGGAAAAACTGGTCCTTGGAGTACCATTCTTTGGTCATACATACAGATTGAGATACGCCAGGATCAACGGTGTAAATGCTCCTGCCACTGGACCTGGTATCTCGGGTCCTTTCACGCACCTCACAGGTGCTATTGCATATTTTGAGGTAAGTTCATCACTTAACTAGCGCTAACACAAACGTGATTTCTGTCTGGGGTTTAGACCACGTTGGTCTACCACGTTGGTTTCCAAAGTTTCGCATTTCTAGAGGCTTTCGTTACCAACCCTGGGATCTTAGTACCTGTGGAACCTGTCTTTTAAAAATTTAATTACACAAGTAATACCTTATACTATATTTTATTAGTATTAGTACCTCTTTTAACAAGATAGCATCCAAGAAGCTCAAAACCTTTTTAGCTTTTAGTGATTTGATTTCCTTTGGGTGCATTATAATGTCGTCCCAGCTGAATAGTACGTTTGTGAATGCGAGGCCCACATTCACATATGAGGTGTTTTAGTGTTTCACGCTCCTGATTGCAGTATCTGCCATTATCAGTGTCACTTAATTTCATGCGATATTGGTGTCTGTTGAGTTTTCAGCGTCAAGTTATGGCTCTTACAATAGCACGGGTGTTTGGCCTGCTCGACTGTATCAACTCAGTAGTCCGTTTTACGAGTTACCTTCTATTAGTGGTTTAGCGTGCTCTTATCCTGGTTGGTTTAACCAGTATTTTTTAGATTCGCTTAGAAGGTCGTCTTTAAGAATTTGTAGGTTCTGGTCCCATCTGTTGCCCCTGTGCCTCTGCTCTTGTTAGTTCATTAGCTTTTTCATTTAGGAATAACTTTATTCTTTTGAACCTGGTTATTCAGTTTATCGACACAGTCTTTCACGAATTTCGAGCATATCGTGTTCGATTTAATGGCGTTGTGCGTTGCTTGGCTGTCTGAAAAGAAATATATGACCTAATTTGTGTAGTTTCGTTGATGATTGGGTTATGCACCTTCTAAGATAGCATTAACCTCGTGAATTAGTATCGTGTTTTCCGAGATTTAATTTTTTTGTTGAATCACGGCCTTTCGCCGTATATTCCACATCCTACATTTTGATCCATTTTGGAGCCATCAGTAAACTAAATTAGACTTCAACCTTGCAGGATTCGCAGTCATTTCGCCACGTTTCTCTGGCGGTATAATTGCCACATTCTACCTTGTATTTTGTAGTAAAAATACTCAGTGGAAACATGACATGTATAGTATTGCTAGTGGTGTTAGTTCAAGCACTGTTTGGTGGAGAGACTTCAGTGCTTTAGAGCCCCAGTCTGTCCTACCAGTAGTGCTTACTCTGTATATACTTGCTTTCGCCTTCTTTATTATGAATAAATGAAAGGGCGGCAAGTTTAGCAAAGCAATCAGTGCAGTCCCTGGCGTTAAAGACATAGCACCGGTTACCATAAGGCATGTTATTCTTTGCAAGCTATTCAGCTTGTTGATGACTGTCGTTGGAGTGTCTTTTTTCCACCACACTACGCAGGCGTATGTTAACACTGGCCTTACGATGGCGGTGTACATTCACAGGGCGATTTTTGGGCTTAGAGCCCATTTTGTCCCAGCTAGTCCACAGCATATTAAATGGACGATTTTCGCCTTCTGTATCACATTATCCATGTGATTGTTCCACCATAATTTTTGGTCGGTAGTAACACCCAGGTATCTAACCTTGGTGAAAAACGGAGCGGGAATTTACTCACCTTTTATAGTGGGCGTTATAAATTGAAATAACTTTGTGTTCCTAGTAAAAGGTATAACTGTAACAATACGTATCTTTATATATATAATTCTTCTGTGAGTGTGTATGTCACTGAACTTCTCTTAAACGACTGGACCGATTTTGATGAAATTTTTTGTGTGTGTTCAAGGAGATCTGAGAATGGTTTAGATTCACAAAGACGTGTAGACAGAACAACGTCTGTCGGGTCCGCTAGTTTTTTTATATTATTAGCGGAATGGCTACCATGTTCCCTGTTTTTTGCAAGCGAATAATAAAAAATATTGTAGTGTGTAGTTTAAAACATTATATGGTATTATTGCTGTTATGTATAGATTTACCGATCGATCGTTCTCTGTGCACCACTTCATATTGACGCTAGCCACAACATCGTTCACATATCTCTGTATATGTAATCTTATATCAGATGCTTTTATTAGTAGCTGATCAACCGCTAATAACCACAATTAAGGTGATAAAACGCTCCCTTCTGGACAGGCACTCGTTGTATTGAAGCCTTATGTTGTTCCATGAAGGCTTACTTTAACAGCTCCGTTAAAGAGCAACGTCTCTTCTTTGAGTTACTAAAATAATTATTTTAGTTAAAATTTTATTATTTATTAAATTGGTTTACTTGTTTTTTTTTAAACATTATCATCATCAGCCTATTAATGTCCTCACTGCTGGGGCACAGGCCTTCCCTATGGATGGAATAGGGAGATTGGGCCATGACCCACCACGCGGGCCCAGTGCGGGTTGGTGGGTGCTAACGACTGCAGATGCAGCCGGGTCCAACGGCTTAACGTGCCTTCCGAAGCATGGAGGAGCTCGAGATAGTAAATTTTCGGTCACCCATCCATTGACCGACCACTGCGAAAGTTGCTTAACTTCAACGATCGCAGCGGAACGCGCTAACCACTTGCGCCATCGAGCTCCTCTATTTTAAACATTAAGCAAACTTTAATTTGAATTCTATTTACAATAAAATAACATTGAATAACTATTCTCTTGTTTGTTTATTTACAGATATGCAACATTATTCGAACGCAACACTGGACTGTCAAAAGGGATACATTGGCAGCAGTGCCTTATGCTTTTAGCGCCGAGAACTGGGTGTCTTACGACGATACCGCTTCCATAAGAGCAAAAGTGGAATTTGCCCGAAGTCACAGGTTAGCTGGTGTTATGACTTGGAGTGTAGAGAGTGATGATTTTAACAACGTTTGCGGGGGAGGCAAATTTCCCCTTCTGAATATGATTAATGATGTTCTAAATGAAGAATCTGAAATTGTTGATAATAATAGAACAACGGAAGCAACAACTGATAACAATGCAACAACAGAATCCACTATTGATGACAATAATGGAACAACAGTATCCACCAGTGATGATTCCACAATAGAATTTACTATTGATAATAATGGAACAACAGCATCCACTATCAATGATAGTAATTTCACAACAGAGGCTAATAATGGAATAACAGGATCCACTATTGACGATGATGACTTTACAACAGAGCCATCTACTAATTAAAGCTCTTCAAGTACAAACGCAAGCAACACTAACGATTGGTAATTGTTACAAAATTTACATACAGTTTTAATTATTTTTAAGTGACCAGTTTGCAATATTTTAAAGTTTTTTTTTATGTCACAAGGTTGACAAACCAATCATATGGCCCTGCTGGCGATAAACGGCCACCATAGCCTATATACATAGACACTTTTCAATACCAAAAATATCGCTCGAGCCGTTGCCTACCCCGACCCAGCCTCCACCCCGTGGAGCCCTGGAACCCTACTCGCCTACAAAAACACAACACTACCAAAAGTAGTGTTATTTTACTCCTGTTAGGTGGAGTTACTTCCCCAAATGGGCGCTTTAAGTTTAGCGGGAAATTCGCTGTGCCTTACCTTTCTTAAGTAGTTATATTCCATGTGTTAATACTGGCAGATATGCCTTCATATATTTGAGATGGCAGATATCGTTATATCAAATTCTTATGATTTCCCTGTGAATAATTTCTTAACCTGATTACCATCAAGTTCATAAATTATGTTATCCTCTTCTGTTGACTAAATAATATTTTGTATGCATATCATGCATGAAAGTAACTTAATTTAATCTTCCAGAATCCACATCAGACGTTACATCTTCAACATAGATGTATGAAGATCCCCATAGGGGCATGATCTGCAAAGCTGACAGCCATACTCAAACTTAGGACTCAAATTCAAAATCAATTATTCAGTTTAGGCTGTTACAAGCACTCATGAATGTCTAGAAGCTACGCCATCGCTTCGTGAATCTACGGCGTACACCTTGCGAAGAACCGGCACGAAACTCAGCAAGGGTTATATTTTTCTCCCTGTGTTACTATTGACAGAGTCCTCAAGTTGAAAAAACACTTAAGAGATTACCTTGTATTACATAATGTTTAAGAATCTGAAATTATTTACGCTTCATTTGTCACGTGTTGTCTAATTATATTTTAAGTTTAAGTAATAAACTATTTTTTTTACAAATCATAATTTTTTTCATACCTACGCTGGTGGGGTAACTTATGCCACCTTTGGAGAAATTTAAATTAGGGTAATAATGACCCTTCAAAGAGGACCGCAGGGACCTGTGTTTCAGGTGCGGGAAGGCGGGACAAAGCCGACACTGATCTCCTACTCATAGGTATTCAGTTCATCTGCTTTAGAACCCCATTTTATTTAGAAGGTAGTTAGCAAAGGCAATAAACTGCCGGATGCGAATTCTAATTTTAATGGAAAATATTTTGAAAGCCTCTCTAAACTAAATGACAAGAAAATAATTATGTTTACTTTGCCTTACAGCAAGCCACTGAGTAAGGCAGAAAACGACCATGATATAAAGTTTGATATAATTGATTTCAATGGTTTTATAAAAAACTATATATGACTAAAGATAAATACTTTCTTTGTAATTATTACAAAAATCAAATAGCAAAACCGCTATGTTATTTTATTTTAAAACAAGCCAACTCTTTGACTATAACTTCTGTCTCTATTGGGCAGTCAAATTGGACCATAAGCAATGGTAATTTGGAACATCCCCCAAATTCTTTAAATTAAATTTTGAGTCGAAAGAGACTAGTCAGCATATGTTGACACATTGAGAGAATACTCTCTCACTGTATCAGCGCTGGTATTCTGGCAGGGCCTTTGCGAGGACAGGTTAGGCGTAAAAAAGCAAACAAAATAACGTATATTATAAAATAACACTTAATAGCAAAAACAAAACAAAAAAAGACATATCGACGTTGTCATTTTTGTAACAATTATAAAATTACACGCATCAAACAACTACATATTTATATACCTTCTGTTGGCGAATCCACTTGTAAATTATAGTGTTTGCCATAAGATCGAACTTATCTGCTTTTTCATAATCCTGTCCTCAAACCAGAGCTGCGGCCGATATTTACTAATATACATTTTTTTATTGTATTTTTAGGCAAAGGTTAATTGTTGCTCTTAAATTGTATACGACGGCAGCACATAATGCGTGTTACTACAACTGAAATAAGTGTAATCTCGAAGGACTAATCACAGAAGTTTAATAAATAATTAAACTCTTTATTTTACACCACATAAAACACAAAAAAACATTGTACATAATTGCTGGATACAGAGCAAAAATGGAAGGTCTTATCGCTAACAGCGATCTCTACCGGACAATCTTGGGATGTAGAGGACAAGAAAGAAGCTGGAAAGACGGCGGTGTAATTAACTGCAATAATACGCAAGAAAATCAATGCGTTGAAAGTGTGAAGGAAGTTAAAACATTCCTTAAGATAGCACGGAGTCAAAGGATTAAACAGTACGTTATAGAGAAGAGTAAGGATGTGAGTATTCCGGCGAAGGCGAAGACGCTGCCACTCAAGCTGTGAACGAAATTGAGAAACATGATCATATTATTAAGTAATCTGTGGCTATGTTATATTACTAAGGGTAAGTAGATTTACATGATTGAGTATTTCGATCTGTAGGTTCAGTACAATTACCAGTAAGTTATTTTTCAAATTTAGCGGGTTTGATTCCCGGTTCAGCCAGGCAATTTTTATTAATTCTTTGAATATATCACTTTCTCTAGACGTTCGAAACGCTCCAAACAGGACGGTGTTTAAGAGTTCGGTGCGGTAACATTATTTGAATCTATTGCATAGTGCTTAAGTTGAATCAGGATACTAAAATCGGACACTATATTATAGGTATATTATGTATATGTGTATATGTGTGTGTATGTATGTATATTTATGTTTGTATGTATGTATATGTGTATGTATTAAACGTTATTTAATTTTGTTTTTTCATTGTATGATGTTTGTTCTTTCCTATGATTGTCTGCCGTTTTATTGACTCTGCACGTGCTTTCCGGTTGACTGGTAGAGAATGCCATGCTGGCATTAAGTCCGCCATAAGCAATGTCAAGGCATTAAAGATTAAATAAATAAAAAAAATACAGAACATATTGTTATTTAAATAATAATGTAGTCTTCTTTCAGCAAAACTTACTATGTACAGTAAATTACTTACTTAAAGTATATTACTCTCCCTCCATGTGGCAAAGTTTTGGCACAGCCTGTATAATAAGATAGATTAGATACATATTCCCTTTATAATGTAATACCTATCTACCTACCACTTCGTATCAACGCTATAAAAGATTAGGCCAGTACTTTTGCACTCCCGATATAATCAGACAAGTAATAACCCAATAAATTGCTCAATTTCTCTTCCTAAATGATATCGTCACAGTGCCACGTACCTTCGTACTCGAAGTATTTGTAGCAATACCAGCGTAGCGGTGGTACGTGTGTTGCATTCGTAATTTGAATACCGCGGCAAAAAAGTATACCTATATCTATAAGAATGAATGCCGGTAATTTATTCTCTCCCGCTGAAGAATTGCCATTCATGAATATGAATTGCTTTGTTTAAAGGGATCTAAAAACTTTTTATTAAAAAAACGGGCAAATTTTGTTTACATGAGATAGAAGTGAAACCTATAAAAATGTGAACACATAAAATTGCTTCATGACCAGCATAGACCAGGTATTCCGTAAAATGCAATCTCACTTACGATCTCATTTATTCGGATTTCTGACAAATTCAATTCAATTCAAATTATTTATTTCAGAACTAGGTTACATAATGTTAGTTACATTTGATTTACTTATAAATATATTAGTATAATAAAGAATTATTTAGAATTACATAAAATATTACTATTGGATATGGAGCTTCACCCAGTGTCGTAGCAGAGGAGTGTCCCACCGATCATTAAATACTCTCAGGAGGCTGTTGGTACTAGAGCGGAGCCTAGTGAGCATGGAAACGGACCTCTTTCTAATAATGGCATAAAAGTCGTCCGTATGCATTTTTGACGCGCTGCAACTCCGCGCCAGTCTCAACAGTATCCTGATGGCGTTATTATATTGAATACGCAGGTCGCTGTATGCCCGCTGCGTATAGTTGGTCTAAAGACTGCACGTATAGAATGATTGGCAGTAAGTCTTAAAAAGAGAGACCTAAAAATGTCAAATATCTAATACTGACTGCTTCTACAGATATAGGGACATTTTGCTGTGTAATGGCGTGATGCATATCAAACTATTACCTAAAATGGCAGCTACCGAAATCGGAATTCAGATTTTAATTTACAGAATCGACCTACAGGTACGTTTAAAGACAACACCTGAGTTGAAATTCAACTCTCTACGTCCTATGACTTGACTGGGAGTTGATAAGTCGGTCAAACTGAGTCCCAATCATGAAATGTAAATATAGATAATAATTAAGTTCCCCATAATTACTACAAAATAACTCTACTTTCAAGCTAGCGCTTTCTGAAAAGTCACACTTGAATAAAAATAAAACAATTGTATTCTGAGACAAGTTAGGTAAGGGGCTAGGACTATTAATTAGAAATTACAGTGATGAAAACATTATAAATATATGTACTGCTGGGAAATCATTTAATGACATTGTAAATAACTTGACCCACTATAATGTGGATAGTTATACTAACTTATAGTTTTTGTGTTTGTGTTTTACTCAACTGCCGTTGCATCGAATCTCAAGTCGCAATGATACCGAAGAAGTTTTCACTTCAGTAAAGAGAACCTTTCCTTTCTCGCTTAAATATTTCTGAGGCTATTTCCTTCGTAGGTATGTACCTACTGGGGTCCGGATCACGAAATTACAGCAATTTTAGATGCTAAACAGCTAAGGATATTAATGTAATGTATTTTTTGGGATCGCGAAGTCTTTACGTCATGCTTAGCCAGTGCTAAATTAAAAGAATAACATTGAAGCTCTAAGCGCATTTTTATTCTTATTTTATTACGTTAAATTTATTTATTTGTAACAATGTAAGTTAATAGCTTATAACAATTAATAATATATTTTAGTTGTTGTATTATATTTTTTTTAAAGTTTCATTGTTCCTGTATATATTATATTTGTAAATGAAATTTGTGTAATAACTCTAAATTAAAATTGCTCTACACAATTTGACAAATATGTCGACTTAAAAAATCTTACGTTTGTTTTACAACATAATAGCAAATATGCATGAAATCCAAATTAGCCTCATTTTATTTTTATACTCTATTACTTATGAGCACTACCTCCTACAATATTTGTAAATAAAATTTCTGTTTTCTGTATCTATATATATGAAAGTCAAAGGTGACTGACTGACATAGTGATGTATCAACGCACAGCCCAAACCACTGCACGGATCGGGCGGAAATTGGGCATGCAGGTAGATGTTATGACGTAGACATCCTCTAAGAAAGGATTTTGATCAATTCTACCCCCAAGGGGATAAAATAGAATGAATGTCATTGTGTATAATACAAGCCTGAGATCAAAAACTGTAGTCTACACTTCGGCTCTACACCGAAGCGAAGCGAGGGCGGGCCGCTAGTTTGTGAATAAATTGTAAAAAAAAATAGTAATTGTAAAAATAAATTAATGATTTGAAAAATTCATAGTTTTAAAAACTGAAAACACGCTTTTATTTACAGCACTAAAAGGCCAAAAATAACAGGGTGTCGCCCAGTGCCCTGACCTGAGGTGACGCTTGCGATACGAAATTTTTAACCCCTCTTATACCATTCATCACTCGGCACGTTTCCCACCTTTGCTTGGGTGGGATCTGTTTTTATTATTTTAAGACGATAATCTGAGGGTTATGTAACTCAGTCCAGTGGTTAGGACCAGAATCAAACAAATGTTCGGCGATGGCTGATTTCTGCGTATGGTTGTTCTTGATTGCCTTAATGTGTTCCCTCATTGGGAGGGTAGACCGATATGTCTGCCAATAACAGCCTACCCGCAATTACTTCAGTTACTCCGTGATTATGGCGCTTGCAACAGTGCCGAAATATCGGAAACTCGCTAAAAACAAGGTACATGGTAACAATCCCGTAAATAACTTATATTACTATAATGTTAGTGACCATGAAAGTGAAAAACAACAGACTCAATATGTTTACCAGTAGGCAGTCCAAGGTTCCATCAGCCATCATCAGACCAGCTCGATGGTACCAAAATATTGTATTGTCATCTAATCTACAGATAATTGCCAAGTTTCATGATTACACAAGGATTGAAGTGCATGTTATTCAGATTCTGAGATTTTATTTTATTATAGTTACA